ATGCCTGGCTATTTTTTGGAGATGGAGTTTTGCTCTAGCTCAGGCTGGTCTCCAACTCCTGAGCTCAGGTAATCCACCTGCCTTGGCCTTCCAAGTGCTGGGATTATAGGCATGAGCCACTGAGACGGCTTACTTGTTTCTTTTTAAAAATGTATTTATTTACTTTTGAGACAGAGTCTCAGTCCGTCACCCAGGCCAGAGTGCTGTGGCATCATCCTAGCTCACAGCAAACCTCTATCTCCTAAGCTCAAGTGATCCTCCTGCCTAAGCCTCCCAAGTAGCTAGGAGTAATGGGTACCTGGCTAATTTTTTCTATTTTTAGTAGAGATGGGGTCTCACTGTTGCTCAGGCTGGTTTCAAACTCCTGAGCTCAGGAGATACTCACACCTGAGCCTCACTAAACCATTGTGCCCAGCCTTATTTTATTGCCTTTTTTTTTTTTTTTTTTGAGGCAGAGTCTCACTTTGTCACCCTCAGGAGAGTGCCATGGTTTCATAGCTCACAGCAACCTCCAACTCTTAGGCTCAAGCAATTCTTTTGCCTCAGCCTCCTTAGTAGTTGGGATTACAGGTGCCTTGCCACGTGCCCCAGCTATTTTCTTTTTCCTTGTTTAGCAGGCCCTGGAAAGGTTTAAACTCACCAGCCCTGGAACATGTGGCCAGCACCCTAACTGCTGAGGTACCGGTGCCCAGCCCCTTATTTTTTGAGACAAGGTCTAGCTCTGTCACCAGGGCTAGAGTGCAGTGGCTTCATCACAGCTTACTGCAGCCTAAGCTCTTGGGGGGCTGGAGTGATCCTCCTCCTTCAGCTTCCCAAATAGCTGGGACTGCGGGTGCCACCACTACACTTGGCTACCTTTTTTATTTTTTATGGGTATGGGGTTTCACTCTTGCTCAAGCTAGTCTAGAATTCTGGGCCTTTAAATTGCTAGGATTATAGGCACAAGCTACATACCCAGCTGAAAATTCATTTTTTAAAATAAATTTATTGACTTCTTCCTTCAGTTGGTAATCTCTTTAATGTCGAAGGCAAGTGATTCCTGACTTGTAGCATATTCCTTTACCTACCAGCTGCATGGTCTATTTTTTATTATTTTTTTTTTTTGAGACAAGACAGAGTCTTAAGCTGTTGCCCTGGGTAGAGTGCTGTGGCATCATAGCTCACAGCAACCTCCAACTGTTGAGCTCAAGTGATCTTCTTGCCTCGGGTTTTCTATTTTTAGTTGAGATGGGGGAGGGGGTATCTTGATTTTGTTCAGGCTGGTCTTGAACTCATGAGCTGAAGCTCCACGTGCCTCAGACTCCCGGAACACTGGGATTACAGGTGTGAGCCACCGCCCAGCCTTCTGCATAGTTTAGACAGGGCATGTGCACTGCAGGTAGGCCGTGGACTGGTTCTGTTAGAAAACTCATTTCTAGACCTGCTTCCACACCACTTGCCAACTTCATGGCTTTGAGCAGGTAGCCGTCTTGCAATAGTGACTGTGAGGCTGTCACAGTAGTTAAATTATTGTAAAGTGCTTAGAACAGTGCTTGGCATAAACTAAGTGCATTAAAATGCTTGTTAAGTACCTTTTTTTTTGAGACAGAGCCTCAAGTTGTCACCCTGGGTAGAGTGCTCTGGCATCACAGCTCACAGCAACCTCCAACTCCTGGGCTCAAGCGATTCTCCTGCCTCAGCCTCCCAAGTAGCTGGAACCACAGGCACCCACCATAATTCCTGGCTATTTTTTAGTTGCAGCCCTCATTGTTTGGTGGGCCAGGGCTGGATTTGAACCCGCCAGCTCAGGTTTTATAGGTATGTGACTGGTGCCTTAGCCGCTTGAGCCACAGGTGCCGAGCCTAAGTACCTTTTTTTTAGACAGTTTTTCTTGGTGCCCTTGGTAGAGTGCCATGGCGTCATAGGTCACAGCAACCTTGCAGTCTTGGGCTGGAGCAATCCTCTTGCCTCAGCTTCCCAAGTAAGTAAAGTAAGTAGCTGGGACTACAGGCACCCCCACAACGCCTGGCTACTTTTTTTTTTTTTTTCTTTTTTGCAGGTGTGAGCCACCTGCCTGGCCTACTGCTTGTTAAATACTTTTTTGATACTTTGTGTCAGCCACTGAGGATTACATGATGAACTTGATAAATACAGAGTAGAATGTGTGAAAACAGCTTGAGCCTGTGTCAGTGCTGTGTGCCCCTGGTGGCCTCCTCACTGGTTGCTCTGCAGCCCTGAGGTCTCAGTGGTCTTGATTCCTGTTCCCAGGTGTGTTGCGGCTGCTCGGGTTGGATGGCTAGTAATGGTGTGGGAGCCACAGTGCACTTGTTTCAGAGCATAGGACTCATATAAATGGCTGTGTTTGAAGGAATAAGTCCAGGTCACTCCTTTATATGATCCTTTGAGGAATGACTGTGTCTGAGGGAAGGGCTGCATGGGCGTGAGCTCCACCAGGGAGCTGAGGGTCAGGGGTGCCACTAGCAGCTACTCTCTCATGCTGTGACAGTTGCCAACTTGCCAGAATCATTTCAACTCATCAGTTGCTGCTGTTGGTGGAATTTTGAAAGAACTTCTAACCACTAGCTTGCATACTACAGTTGTGTCTCTTTAACTGTGTAATCTGATGCTTTTATAGATAATTTCTCTCTCTTTTTTTAATTGAGACAGAGTGTCACTTTGTTGCCCTTGGTGGAGTGCCACGGCATCATAGCTCACAGCAACCTCCAACACTTGGGCTCAAGCTATTCTCTTGCCTAAGCCTCCCAAGTAGCTGGGACTATAGGCGCCTGCCACAACGCCTGGCTATTTTGTTTCGTTTTAGCAGGCCCTGGCCACGTTCAAATCCACCAACCCTGGTGCATGTGGCCGACACCCTAACCACTGAGCTATGGGCACCCAGCCTAGACATTTTCTCTTAACCAACATAGGCTTTTGGTGATAAGTTTCTTATTTTAATTTTAATGCAGAATTTCTGGTCCTCTCCAGTATAACCTGTGGCATATAGTGCAGCTGAAGCTTACTTTAAATACATTTTAGTAATACTTCTGTTGTCATTTGGAAGTGCAGCCCCTCAGCATATTTACTAAATAAAAAAGTTGTATGATTATGAAATACTTCCTAATAAAATGTTTTGGGTTGTCAGAAGGTTTGTTGTTGTTTTTTTTTTTAATTGATTTGGGAAACGTTTACGGGCGGCTAAGTGTGTGCTTTCACAGGGTGTCCTGCTTGTGCCTACAGGGATGTGAGCTCTGAGAGCTCCCAGCTAAGGTGGCCTGGGCCAGGCAGGCAGCCCCACGGCCGTCCTCAGTGCTTCTGTGTGCACTTGCCATGTCTGCTGCCTCGCTCACCTGCAGGCATCTCAGCGGTAGCTCCTGTGCAGTCATCCTTCACAGACAGGAATGAGGATT